TGCGGGAAATTGGTGATGGTGGTCGTTTAGAGCGAGAGAAGAAAAACCCTACAACATTTCTGTGAGGTTTTTGAAGGTTTTTTTGATGGGAGGGGCATTTACGGTATTTCAAGCATCTCCTTCTTTCCTCAGCTACAAACAAAAATTCGAGATTTTTAATTTTATCCAGGTTTTTTGTCAGATCGATTGGTCTCAAGAGTTTCCTGAAATCTAGTGGCAAAGATGCAGGTCATTGCGTCTTGCTCTTTGAAACCTAATCCGATCAATCCACATGAGAATGATTGTGTCGGTCGAAGACAGCTTCTTTCCTCCGCCTGTTCCAGAATCTCCCGAACCGACGTCGTTTCAGACCGACCATTTTCTTCAGTAAAGTAAGCATTTTAGCTTCTTATACACAACCAAATTAGCTCAAATTTCTGTATTTTGGTTACGTCTAATTCGAGTTATGAACATTTTCCAAAGATGGGTAGTGAAAATTCTCCGAAAAGCTTTAACTTTTGGAACAGTATTGTCTAGTGTCATTTAGTCCCAATATGTAAATTTTTGTTTGTAACTTGGAACATATATTCATTAGTGTGTTTCTTTCTGTTGTAAAATTTAATTTCCTGAGATTTTACTTGGAAATTTGATGTTCATGTAGCTTTTGGTTGTTTATATTTTGTTTAGGATTGGTCGAGACTGGAAGTCGAGTTTGCATGAGTTAGCTATGAGTAGTGTCCCTTCGACGACAAGGCGAATCTTGTTGACAAGTATAATCATGAATTTGTGCTATAATCCTTCAAGGTATTTATCAGGTCTGCACCTTGTTCAGCTATTTGTTTTTCTTCTAAAAGGCTTTGTTTAATACTTTGATGGATCAAATTTTGTATAGGAAGCTTTGTTGTCACAATCAAAGTATTGTAGTTCGTAGGTACTGATGTTTCGAAGCTCCTATTAGAAGAAATTTTGAAATAGTAGGGTTCGATTTCAGAATATTCTTGAATTAGACTTATCAAAAGGAAGCAACATTTTTCGTACCAAGGTATACGACTGTTGGATTTGGTGCTCTAGTAGAGAACACGGATCATCATGATATGATCTCGCCTTTTCAGTTCTTCTGCTTATTATAAGATCGTTTTCGTCAAATCGTAGTGATATAATTTGGTTATTGAGTATGCACTTTTGATGAACTACAGCCCTAGCACTTGGCGATCCAGCTGTTGCGACAATTGAAGATGTTAGGCCACCTGTTTTCCCTGCTGGGCCCCTTTTCCCTACCGAGGTTAGTTCCTTTAACGAGGATAATTGGTAATCAAAGTTTTAGGTTTTCATGGATATTCGAAACTTAATCTATCTTCCTTACGTTTCAGGGAAGAATTGTGCAACTGTTTGAGAATAATACTTATTCCGTTGTCAACATATTTGATGTGACTTTGCGGCCTCAGCTCAAAATGACGGGTGTGGTTGAGGTAATGTTTCTTAATACTGAAAATAATATCTATTTTGTTTGTTGTTTTTTATTGTTTGACTTACAATTGCTCTCAAAATTCAATTGTAGATACCCGAAGGAAATGGCTCTGGAGTAGTTTGGAATGGACAAGGATACATTGTGACCAATTATCACGGTAAGATGATCTGAATGAACCTTGATTTAGTGCACAAGTGCTTGAGTCAGTCTCATATAATATTACGCCCTCCGTTTCTTAATATATAAGATGTTTTCGAGATTTTTTTTTGTTTCATAATATAAGATGTTTTAAGATTTCTATGCAGCTTTTACTTTATTGAATATTGTGTAATTAATAGCATTATGCAGTCTTTTTCTTT